TTCAGTTTCAGAACCATTGGATGGTGAAACAACCTCAGGCGGAACGCCCAACACGCCCTACCAACACGTCTGGAAGTACGACAGGGAGGAGTTATGCATGAGGAAAAGAGATGACGGAGAAGGACAAAGACGTGGAAAGGAAGACGAGGAGGTCGAGGGGGAGGGGGACAACGACGACGACGAGAGGAGGGAGAAGGAGGAACAGGCGGGAGCGGAGGAGTGCGAGGAGCGCGAGGGAACGGCGGGCCGCAGGAAGAGGCGGAGAACGACGGCGAGGAAAGGACGACGACGACGACGACGACGACGACGACGACGACGACGACGACGACGACGAGAGGAGGAGACCTGAGATCCCAGGGTTGCATTTTGTTCTCGCGCCCGGCGCTCTCGCATGGCCTCGGGAAGCCCCGGGACCACCACGGATGGGTCACGCCAGAAAAAATCAGACAGATCTCCTCCTCCTCCTCCTCCTCCTCATCCTCCTCCTCCTGATCCTCCTCCTCCTCCTCCTCCTCCTCCTGCTCCTCCTCCTGATCCTCCTCCTCCTCGTCCCAGCGAGCAGGGTCGGCGGCACCGGCCGTCAGGCCTCCGCAGTCAAACCGAGAGATGGGCGCTGGGCATCTGGCCGCGACTTGCTTCGCGTCGCTGCGCTCTGTCGCGGCGTCGGAGCTCGGCTGGACGACGACGGGGGAGCGAGGAGGGCGGTGGCGGCGGGAGGCTGCAGGCCGAGGAGGCTGGGGGGGAGGGAGCAGGAGGGCAACGCCACGGAGGAAGAGGAGGGGGAGAAGGACAACAACAGCAACGAGTATTTCAGATCTAGGGGAACAAAAGATGGCATCAACATAAAAAAACTCGGAGGTCCGCGCAGATTTCTCGGATCGGCGCTGGGGCCCCCTGGCGGCGCCTCCGGCGCCGCCCCTGGCGCGCTCCGCGCGCCAGGGAGGGGGGTCCAGCGCCGATCCGCGAAATCCGCGCGGACCTCCTAGTTGTTTTGTTTATGCCACTTTTTGCTTGTTCCCTTAATATTGTTCGGCCCATACCTTCCTCACTCTTTCGGTTTCGCACTCGGTCCAAACCTGGTGGAAGAGTCCGCGCGGTCCGAACCCTCAGGCCGCCTATCCCCCACCCCCCATCTCACCGCCGCAACGGGCGGCGCCACACCACGAGGGAGGAGGACGGGGAGGAGGTGGAAGCGAACATACGCCGGGGGTTTGAGCCCAGACCCCTGCGGGTACGGAGCGATCCAGGGAGGGATCCCAGAGCGACTTCGCCCCCGGAGGCATCCCTGCCTTCTTCACTCGTTCCTTTTCGCACTCGGCCCAGATGTGGGTGAGGAATCCGCGCGGTCCGAGTCCTCAGGCCGCCGTGCTACCCACCCACCCCCCCGCGATCCGATGGAAGTCGGCCTGAGTGGATCGCCACCGTCTCGCGGGTCGTGGTCCTGCGACCGTGGCCGGGGTCGCCCCCCCCCCAGGAACCCCACCAGCGGCCCACCCGTCCCGAGCAGCGCTTGCGCTGAGAGGCCCCCGTCGCCCGGGGCCTCAGAGCCCCGCGACGCGCGCCACAGGTCTGGGGCCCAGGCGCTGGCGCCGTTGCTCGCTCAAGGCCCCCGCGTGGCAAACTGAACGGTTGGTTGCGGATGCTGCTGCGCCGGAGATGACCAGCCTGGAACGTATCCCTATCCCTAAGATTGACACGCCGAAAGGCGATGACAATCTTAGGGATTCGCCCTCAAAAAATGAGGGAATCCCTAAGATTGGCATCGTGATGAGGAGGTGTCCAGCATGGGGATAGGGACATGCTCCAGGCTGGTAAGGAGAGGGATTCGCAGGAGACGGGCTGAGCAGGAAGACGTGCGGCATGATCAGACGGGCGGCTCGGGCGGGTGGACCCTGACTCACGTTTCCGAGCGTGCCCCCCTGGTGGGTGTATCGCTCTCACCTGCCACGCGCGGTTGGCGCGGCACTCAAACAAGGGCGAGGGAGGGAGGAGGGAAGGCACAAAGGGGGAAGGAGAAGGATGGAGCACGAGACGGTGGCTGGGAACAGAAAAACCTGAGCAGTTCCTTAGGGTGGAGGGCTCAGGGTGGAATCCATATGAGCTTGTGCACCCCGAAAATCCATCCGTTCTGTGATTCGTCTGTTGCAGATTCAAGCCTCGAAAATCAATCAAAACGGCATTTCAGACCTCACCCGTCGCCCTCCACCCAAAGAAAATGCTCGGGAAACATACGGCAGAACCGGACGGTCGGATCGGGCGGGTGGACCCGAACGGGCGGGTCGGGCGAGCGGGCGCAGACGGCCGGGTCGAGCGGGTGTGTCGCTGAAGCGTCAGTCCTGCGTGCATCGCGACGGAATCTCGAACGACAGCGCAATTCTCAAACGAATCGTGAAGAAATCCAATGCGAAAGCGTGACTGCTGAGAGTCGAGGGCGCGGCGTCTCAATAAATTGCCAAGAACTGTCAGGCGAGAGCGCGATTCCGGGATAAATTGCGATGGCGCCCCGCGCTATAGCGCGATGTGAAATACGTGCAGGGAATATACAGCAGGCGCTGTTTTGGCAAACTGGGGGCCAACAGCACGGTCTGGGGCCCAAGAATTTCCCTCTTCACACAAGGTGTGATTGCCGAAAAGGGCACTTCGACAGGAGAAACACAATGGGTGCAGGAGGGGATCAGTAATAAGCAGCAGCAGAAACAACAACAGCAGCAGCAACAACAACATCACTTTTGAAACTTATCGTTACTCGTTGCTCCCTTGTCACTCAACATGACTATATACCCTACGCCGTCGATGTCAACCCTTTCCGCTTTCGAGCATGCCCCCTTTGGGGGTATCGCCCTTGCCTGCCACGTGTTGCTGGCGCGGCCTCTCAAACCAAGACGACATGATGACAGACATAAGGACCCAGCGCGGACCCAAACGGGCGGGTCGGGCGGGCGGACCCAGCGCGATCCGAAAGGGCGGACCAACTGCGCGGGACGTTGAAACGGGCGGGTTTCCACGCAAACGAAAGGGCGGACATCACCAGGCGCCCGCGCAACTTGTCCTCCTGAAGCACGGCCCCCTCCGTGACCAGCAGGGAGATCTGCGGCAATTTCTACCCAGGCACCACTCCAGCCAGTAGCGCGCAACACGTGCACGGTTGGACACACGAACTGTTCAGTTCGCCCGCGTGCAACGCCCCCGTGGACAAGCCGAGAGAAACGCGAAAGTTCCCGCCCAGCCACCGCCGCGCGCGAGGAACACACTCCAAATGCACAGACGGGAGCACGATCTGTGTGCACAGATCACACCACGATCTGCGTAAACGGTGGACCCACACGCGCAAATACACAGTTGAAGACACGAGCTGTGCACACAGATCACGCCTTGATCTCTGCATTTCGGAAAAGTAAACGCTCGCCCCCGGCCAGGGAGGGGTACGAATACACACTTCCCTGGCCCAGGGCGGCCCCTAGGGACTGTAAATGCACTCATACGTGGCCCCGGGCGGCCACCGTGGAACGCGGCGCCAAGGCGGCCCCCAACGGCCCCAAGACGTCCAAAGAGTGCCCAGAGGGGCCCCCCAAAAAAGCCCGACGCCAGTCCGACAACATGACAGATGTCACATGTCCCGGACGCCTAGGCAAACGTAGCTCGAAGCGTCGCCGTTCGGACCGCTGCGCTGGCACGGTGGCGGACCTTGCCGCAGGCACCAAAAACATTACATGTTAGCGCTGCGACTGTGTTTGGCGGCCGGTGCCACCCGCGCTTGGAGTGCGCCCCGACCGTTTGCATTGGCAACGCCCTCTAAATGGCTGGTACGCTGCGCTCGGAGATCGAACGGGCAGTGCAATGCGAACGCGGTCGCGCGGCCCCATCGCTTGCCTCTTTCAAAGCAAGGTGAAAGGACAAGGTGGGACGACAGATGGTGAAGCAGGGATGCAAAGGAGGAAGAGGAGGAGCGAATAATGAGGGCGAGAAGGAATAGGGCGCTCCCCCGCCGGAGCCGCGGCCGCCTTCGACACCATGTGGGGGGTTGAGAAATGATAAGGGAACAAGGAGGAGGACGACGACGGAAAGTGAAAAGGCAGCGGTCCGCAGATATACCGAACGAGTGGGATTCGGGTGGGCGCGTTTTGTTGGGCATTTCAATCCCGACCCTTAGTGAATTAACGAATTCCTCCCAACTGTATCAACACCGTGCCCCCTGTACCCCTCCTATACAACTGCCTCGCAACAGAGGGGCAGTGGATTCCAACAGCCCAATCGGATGAATCTCAGAATGGGCACCAGTCGAGGGATTACCAATAATCATGAGTGAGAAATGAGGATTCAAAGACTGGACAGAGGGTGAGGCTGTGGAGCAGGAGGAAGACGACGAGGAGGAGGATGAAGAGGAGGATGAGGAGGGCGAGGACGACAAGAAGGAAGAGGAGGTGTGGGGGAATGCCCGTCCACTTGGGCTCTGCATCGATCTGCTGAAGCCCATCCCAAATACCATCCTGCCGAGCTGTCCGAGCTTCGTCCAGCCGTGGCCACGAGGGATAACAAGCATCAGGATCCTACCTCCTACGGTCAGGAACTGTCGTTTCAGTGTGTCGCGGCAGCGGCCCCGGCCACACGCTGTGCCCTGCAACCAGATAGCGTGCCGCTCTGCTCTGTGGCGCGGGAAGCTGAGAAAGGCTCGGAACGGTGACGCCTGGGGGCTCGGACGTGGTCCGCGTGTCGCCGAAGCGTGGTGGGCCAGAACCGGCGGCGCGACACGCGAGGCAAAAGTTCCCAACCGTGCATGCCGCCTCCTGCCCTCCCTCGGCGGCGAGCCCAGGGGGGCAGGCAGCGGAGGCGGGACTCCTCAGAAGGCTCGAGAATGCCTGGGGCCTTCCGAGAAGCGGTCCAAGCCTTGCCCAAAGGCAGAGGACGGCTTCTCGGAAGGCGCCAGGGCTTCTGAGAAACCCCGCCCCCCCCCTCGCCTGCCTCCGGGCTCGCCCTCGACCCTCGTCGCAAGGACCCGGAGCAGGCCCGCTCCTGCAGCTTCAGTCGCTGGGCTTCGTGCAGGCTCGCGGGCACGCCCTGGGCCCAGCAGTGCGCGTGCCAGCAACCCGCGCAGTAGTACTTGTGGCCGTCGGCGGAGGGCGACTTCCAGAGACTGGGGAGCGGGCACTGGAGCGACGAAGAGAGTACGGTG